GGAAGACGGCAGGCGGTCTCGTCAGCAGGCACAGCGCTCACGACAGGCATCACGCGCACCGGAGGAAGCTGCAGAAAAGGAGGAGGAGGAGGAGGAGGATGAGGAGGGGGAGGAGGAAAAAGGAGGAGACGAAGAAGAAGACCAAGGCCGAGAGAGTTCACGAAAGAGAGGAAATGCAGCAGGCAGTCAGCAGAGAGGAGGACAGCAGCGCCGCAACACACCTTCGGGGGTCAGCGCCTCAGTAAGTGACGAGGAGTCCGATGATAAGGACAAGGGGGGTTCAAGAAGCAGAGAAGAAGGTTCACGCCAGAGGCAGCCTCAGAGGAGCAGAGAGCGTTCCGCAGGTGCAGAGGCAATAGATAATGATGAGGAGAGAACTGGCAACTTGACGGGTCGGACTGAAACAGGTGAGGAGAGCGGACGGCCCCGTCAGCAGGCACAGCGCGGAAGACAGGCATCACGTACATCCAGGGAGTCTACGGGAAAGGAGAAGGTGGACGACGAAGAGGAAGAAGAAGAAAACAGCTCACGAAGCAGAGGACGTGCAGCACAAGGCCAGCAGAGAGGAGGACAGCAGCGCCGCAACCGACCGGCTGACACCCGCAGTTCGGGTGGTACTGAAGATCCCGATGAAAAGGACGGAGGGGGTTCTAGAAACAGAGAAGGAGGCTCGCGCCAGAGGCAACCTCAGAGGAGCAGAGAGAGATCCGCAGGAGCGGAAGCGACAGATAACGATGAGGAAAGAACTGGAAACTTGACGGGTCAGACTGAAACAGGTGAGGAGAGCCGACGGCCTCGTCAACAGGCACAGCGAGGCCGAGAGGTACCACGTACACCACGGGAAGCTGTAGAAAAGGAGGAGCAGGATGAGGAGGACGAAGAAGAAAGCGACAGCCCCCGGAGCAGAGGAAGTGCAGCACAGGGCCAGCAGCGAGGAGGACAGCAGCGCCGAACCCGACCTGCTGATGTCAGCACCTCCATAAGTGTTGAAGATTCTGATGATAAGGAACAAGGGGGCGCGAGAAATAGAGAAGGAGGTTTGCGTCAGAGGCAGGCTCAATCGCATAGACAGCGACTCGCTGGTGCAGATGCAATAGAAAATGATGAAGAGAGAACCGGCAACTTGACGGGTAGGACGGAGAGAGCGGAAGAGAGCAGGCGATCTTGGCAGCAAGCACAGCGAGCAAGAGAGGTATCACGTACACCCCAGGAAGCTGCAGAGAAGGAGGAGGTGGAGGAGGAGGAAGAGGACGAAGAGGAAAAAGAAGAACGCGACAGCTCACGAAGCAAAGCAAATGCAGCAGCGGGCCAGCGGAGAGGAGGGCAGCCGCGCCTCAATCGACCGGCTGACGCCAGCACGTCAGTAGGTGACGATGAATCTGATGATAAGGACCGAGGGGGCTCTATAAGCAAAGAGGAAGCTCCGCGCCAGAGGCAGCCTCAAAGGAGCAGAGAGCGATCCACTGGTGCAGAAGCGACAGATTACAACAAGGAGAGAACTGGCAACTTGACGGGTCAGACAGAGAGGGCGGAAGAGAGCAGCAACACGCAAAGCAGTTCAAAAGGGCAAA